ACTTTTATTCTCACCCAGAGTGGAATAGAAACAGTCCTGGATCTCATCTTTAGCTATGCCTGATTTCTTTTTGAAGGGACTGAAAAAAAAAAAAATAGTCTTTCCATAATTCTGTGGTCTTCTTTATTTCCAGTCTGTCCCTGCAGTAACACTGAAGTTACTCCAGGCTACACGTGACTGTGGCCTGCAAGCAGTTAGCTGTGCCAAGCAGTTAGCTGTGCACTCCCCATGAGCGCTACCTACGCCAGCAGCCTCCTACACTCAGGCAGAAAGGTCCACATATTTTCCTGACTGCTCTGAGCATCAGACATAACCCCTTGCCTTTTGCTGTCACTTTTGAATCACACTGCTGCAGCTTTAGTTGTTATTCTGGACTAAAACCACTGTAATTTTCACATTTTTTTGCACTCTCAATGTGGCAGATAAGTAAAATGGTATTTCATGAACTTAGCATTTCAGACAGATTTTGATTTGTTGAGCACTTTTCTGAAGTATTTATGTTAGTCCACTGATTTTGTTCACATCACATGGAGAAAATTTTATGTGGTAAATCATACTTTGATTTCTTATACATAATTAAATTTGGTAGGACTATTGTCCAAACGTGGAGTTGATACTGAAAGATTTACTTTGGATTACACTGATAAAATAGAGTTTGTAAAATGAAGATGTTTGGAATAACCAAAACCAACTAATAAGTTAGTAACCAAGGAATAAAAATAACTAAGGAATAAAAAACTTAACTAATCTTCCACTTCTTATCTTAGTTTTTTGAAAGTGAGTCAACCAGCCATTGCATAAGCAGGTTATAGAATTTCCTTTGTTGTTGCTAGAAAAATTTAAATCATTTAACAATAACTTCTGTGTTTAGAGTTATGCATATTTAACCTTCAGAAAAATGTTTTCTTAAGCTTCCCTGTACAGTAATTAGTGAGCTAGGGCATGTTCAGATTATAGTACGATCTGAAGTCCTGCCTTCTTTTTTTGCCTCTAGCTAGTCTCAGATAATTCTTCAGCTTCACAATCAAGCTGATAACATACCTATATCACTTAGAAGAAACAAAGTGAAGTCACTCCTATTCACTCTTACCTGGTTTTTTTGTACCACAAACTGGAAAAATAAGACTTATTTACAGTGCTCATTTTTTATTTCAAAAACATCATACCCTAAGGGTCCGCACTTCAGTATGAAAAAAATGGGATGAGGTATTATGTACAAATACTTAACATGATTTTTAAAACATATAACAGCTTTAGTTTGATTTACTGATCCCAGCTGTCTAAAATCTTGACAGATTTATCAAACTGATGATTTTCTTCTCAGTACTGGCAAATCCTGTTGCATGCTGAGAGCCAGTATGAACTAAGTTCTCCCCAAACCCCAAATATCTACTGTAGAATCCAAGGAAAGGACTTCAGACAATGTATTGACTTTGCTTGCATAGAACAAATTCTGAAAATTTTTGGTACAGTTTCGATCAACACAGACATAATTTGATGATTATTTACTTAAAAATGAAGACTAACTGTGGCCATCAGAACACTGGCCACAAATACTGTAAATAACAGTACAGGTTATTTCAGCTACTCTTCTCACAGTGAACACATCTTATTAACACTCTGTATTTACTATCAATACATACTCAGAATTTAATTTGAACCCCTAAATGTCTACATAAATTTAGCTGCTTGCAAAGCAGTCTTTCTCTCCTTAGGATTCAGAAAGTTCAGATTACCCAATGTATCTAAGCCCTTCCTTTTATAAGAAGCAGATGTCCATGATGATGGATGTTCCTGGCAAGCTTTAAGAAGCCTGTGCACTTCTGTAGTAGTTCGCCATTATGCTGTGATAAGTTTTCATTAGGAATTACCATAGGAATGTGGTTTTTTCTACTTTGAATTTGGCAATATTCTGAATAAAATAGACCTTTCCTAGTATTCTTGAGAAGGAAGTAGATACAGTTAAGGAAATAACTCCAGGAAAGTAGAACTCTTTCATTTGTATTTCTCTAAAATTAGGCAGCTAAATTAAGTAGATGACAAAGCTTTACTGAATTCCATAAATTCAGTGTCAGTCAATTAGTCAAACCAGAGTCTTGGAAAGACACTGAAAATACTCCCAAAAAGCCATAAAATATACCAAATTCCATGGTATCTGGAAAATTCTTTAGGGCCTTAGGAGTACTTAGTAGGTTTTCTCGTAGGTATTCTTCAGGTTTTTTGCCTTTTAATTCTGGAATGTTCATCCTTCACCACTGTATTTTAATTTCACCTATTATTAAATATAATAAATATCAGAAGACATTTACATTCCATTGTGTCTTATTTCAGGTATGTGAATGTATTGTGGAGTTCATTAAACCATACAGGATTTTTTATATAACTACATCAGAGCTTCAGAATCAAGTTATATATTCCGACAACAGTAGAAATAAAAATAATTTTAAATGCTATGGAAAATCACCCATGCCACCTACGGTAAATCATCTTCAAAGAAACGGCAGCATCAGAATAAATTTCCTAAGATGTACATACATCATTAAATGATGAAGACTAATATCAAACCCCTCCACGTTATTAAAGAAATAATAAGTGGAAAAATATTTTTTTTTTGTCTGTGACTAGGACAGACTGGAAGGGAAATCCTCATTCAACTCAAACGAAAAGGATCCACATATTTAACTTGATCTACAACTTAATTAAACACATCTTAAGTGGATACTGAAGCATACACAATGTGATGATGTTAAGTCAACCATTTGGCTGAGTTTTATCCAGTCATCTTTCCAGTTGACTACTAACATGAATCATATCTACACAAGTCACATGAATCACACCAGCAGAAGTCTGAATGTAATTGTCCTCTTCACATTGCCTATAGGCTCCTGTGTTTGTGCAATTCAATTAGTTTTCTCCAGATCTTTTTCTTCTCCCTGCAGCAGCATTTGCAGAGCACACTGCTGTCCATACAGCTCTGTCAGTGCATGCTCATGGTTTGTTAGCTTGGGATTGAGTAAAAGAGAACGCCTAGCAAGACCTCCTTCAAATAGACAGACAGAAAATAGTTATTAGATGACATCACACCAGTATGACATGGCTCTTTTTCCAAAATGCAAAGATAAGCATTGTGAAAAAACCCTGTTAAATAGAGAAGTATGTTTTCTCTGCTTTGTAATAATTAAACTGGATAAAATTGTGACAATCTGGTTACAAAAGTGGTCAGGTGTGCACTGCAGGTGGGGAAGCCCATTGCTCTTCACGTTAGCAGAATCTCAAGGATTGTTGTGACGGAGCAGTTAAAAGTTTTAATTTTGGGAATAGGAGTAGCAATTGTGACAATGTTTCCAGGGTCAAAGTGACCAATAGTATTTTTGCATTTGTTCATTTGGACCTTCTAAGAACCCTTATCTGAATGAAGCATTTTTCCTTGCCTCACAATTAATCAGCCAAAAAAACGGAAAATATTCATGCAAATTCAATTAGTTTAGCACAATCCTATGGGTATTACAGCAAAATACATATTCAGTCACAGGGCACCTTACAGGAATCATTGTGGTCTGTTAGTAATTTGAGGACTGGCCTGTTTCAGTAACAGCCTACTAACTTCCAAGGTTCTGGTCTTTGTTAAGAATTTTTTAATAGGTATGTGAAATACAGGCAGTTTCAAATCTCAATTACATGATCAGAGACCAATAACAGTCAAAAAAAAAAAAAAAGGAGAAAAAAAAAGCAAGGCATTCGTCATTCATAACGTTATTTTAAGTGCCATGCAAGAGAAATAAAATTTCTTGCAGACTGGGAGACTTAATGTACTTTCTGAGAATTTCTTGTTTGATTCATATTAAAAAAAGTGAGGAAAAATGTAAGGAAAACTTCAGCACTGGTCAGCAGCACCACTGCATTGGATCCTTGAAGAGCTTTAAAGATGTTATATATATGTACATGATAATAGCAAGAATACTTGGTATCTATGAGCATTTCCACAAATTTCCACAATCCTGCCCCTCTCCTCAGCCCTGATGAGGCCTCACCTGGAGTGTTGTGTACAGTTCTGTGCTCCTCAGTACAAGAGCAGCATGGAGCTCCTGGACAGAGCCCAACAGAGGGCTACAAAGGTGATTAAGGGACTGGAGCAACTGTCTTATGAGGAAAGGCTGAGGAAACTGGGCCTGTTTAGCCTGGAGAAGAGACAACTGAGAGGGGAACCTAATCAATGTACACAAGTAACTGAAGGGAAGGTGTCAAGAGGACAGAGCCAGGCTCTGCTCAGTGGTGCCAAGCAATAGGATGAAAGGCAATGCGCAGAAACTAAAACACAGGAAGTTCAAACTGAACATGAGGAAGAACTTCCTTACTGTGAAGGTGACCAGGCACAGGTGCTGCCCTGAGAAGCCGTGCACTCTCCCTCACTGGCGATATTCAAAAGCCGGCTGGATAGAATCCTAATGTGCTTGAGCCGTGGGGCTGGAGTAGATGAGGCAACCGGTGGTCACTTCCAGCCTTACCATCCTGTGATTCTGTGATTTAAAAGTATGACTGGAGCAATTCTTAAAGCAATACTAAAACAGAGTTAGCCACGGCATGGCCGATGCCTTAATTAAAGTTTAACTGCAGACCTTTATGAGCAAAAGGTAAAACACCAACCAACAAGCACGCTTTAACAAAGACGGCAGAAATTACTATTTCTGTTATATTCGCGTGTGCTGCTGCGGCTGCAAACCCTGCTGGCGACCGCTGGGAAAGAAACGCCCGACCAGAGAGAGAAGCCTTAAACAAAGAGGGTCCGGGAGATGATCCGGTAACTTCACTACAAGGTTCGACTGCAGAGAATAAGAGCGGGGCACATGACACGCGTGTCCTGTGTTCCAAGGAAGGGGAGAAGGATTATGGTCCCGGGTAGCCACACGGGGCGCCCGTGCCAGGGCAGGAAGAGGTACTTTGGCCGCTTCCCGCACAGCCGCCCCAGGGCCGCCCTCTGCCTGGAGCCGCGGGCGGGCCCGCACCCGCCTCCTGCCGCCAGGGCCGGGAACGAGGGCAGGCCAGGGCGGCGGCACAGGAGAGCGGAGGAGCAGCGGCAGAGCGGGCCGGGGCCGCCATGGTGCTGGTGGTGGTGATAGGCGTGAGCGGCTCGGGAAAGTAGGTATCAGGCAGGCGGCGAGGCAGAGATACGGATGCCCCGGCCGTGGCTCGGCGCTGCTGGAGCCCGGCCGTTTGGGTGCGGATGCGGGTGCGGGGGTGCGCAGCTCACGCCGGCGGTGCGTAACCCCCCCTTTGTGCTTCCCCGCAGGACCACGGTGGGGTCCCGCCTGGCAGCGAAGGTAGGACCATCCCGCACCGCGTGTGGGCCGCCCTCCACGGGGGCGGGGCGGGCGGACACCGCCCTGCGGCCGCAAGGGGGGTGCTGCCTACACCGACTTCAGTTCAGTGCCGTGGTGCAACAGCTGTTGCTGCTGCCAAGCCGACTTGGTATTGTTTTGCTAATCATCATGGCATAACCGATGATTCACACCGTGATGTAAGAAGCCTGTAATTTCTTAGGTGTCGTCTTTGTGAATTCAATGATCCTTATTATCTCCCTTGATATGGCTGAAAGACCCATAATGTATGTATTTTTTTCTTAGCTGGGATGGAAATTCTATGATGCAGACAATTATCATCCTCTAGAGAATAAGAAGAAAATGGCAGGAGGAACACCACTAAATGATGAGGTACCTTATATAAACCCTGTAAGAACTGTCATCTGGACTTTATCTCTGTAACCTCGTGCACGTCCTGTTAAAGTAGATGATGCTTTTACTATGTAGACTGGTCTGACAAGCACAGGTCTGCATTTGGTAAGGTGGGGGAGGCTTCTTGTGTTACAGAGGATTCTGCCTAAACAAGTAGTTTATCAAAGCATGCTTGGCAGATCACAAGGGGTATGCTGCTGTTTCAGAATTTGTCAGACATCTCTCCCTCTACATCCATGCACAGAGTTGCATTTTTGGATTAGAATCATAGAATCTTAGAATATCCTGAGTTGGAAGGGACCACAAGAATCATAGAGTTCCTGGCCCTACACAAGACAACTCCATAAATGTGTTACCCTTCTCTCAAGTCACTTTCCACCATTTATCACCACTCGTGATTGACTGGGGAGGCCCCAGATGACTGAAGGTTAGCTAATGTGATGCCCAGCTAAATGAAGGGCCAGAAGGAGGATCCAGGGAATTGTAGGCCTGTAAGCCTGGCCTCAGTGTTGGGTAAGGTTGTGGAACAGATTATCTTGAGTGCAATCACAAGGCATGTGCAGGACAGTCAGGCGTTCAGCTCCAGCCTGCATGGGTTTAGGAAAGGCAGGTCCTGCTTAAGCAACCTGATTTCCTTCTATGACCCACCTAGTAGATGAGGGAAAGGTTGTGGATATTGTCTACCTGGATTTTAGTAAAGCCTCTGATACCATTTCCCAAAGCATTCTCCTGGAGAAACTGGCTTCCCATGTCTGGGTTAAAAACTGGCTGGATTTATCTGAAAAAAATTCTCTAGATTCTTTTAAAAGTTTCGTTCTTTCACTGGTGTTTGGAAGCCTGTATGTTGTCTGAAGCAGCATTGCACACTTGAATGAGTAAATCATTGGTGCGTGCTGCTCAGCAAGAGCAAAGCATCTCTTCTGAAAAACCAGAGGTGTAAAATTGTGAGGGTCTTCTTAAATGCCAGGGGTAAGTTACTCTGTAATGTTAGCAACAAAATATTGTTGCATTTATTTGTCCATGTTATCATTTGTTGTGCTCACCCAGCAGTAACAGCACTGAAAGATTTACATGGGAGCAAATGTTTTGTGCTCATTAGGCATGACAAAAGTTTGTGGAAGCTTAAAATTTCAGATTAAAGAAACAGCTGATCAATCACTCATGTTGTAATTGCCTAACTACTGAGCAAAAGTGTTGAAAAATTGTGGCTATGATTACATTTATTTGTGATTGCTACCAACATAAATAGAACTAAGTTATTGAAGATACTTAGATTTAGATCTGTCTGTTCCTGAAAACCTCAACTTTGGTCCAAAATGGGGGGGGAAGTGTATGACACTATATAAGGGAAAAGAAATAACAATTTAAGCTGTACATTTGAATTGTATAATAGAAGCAAGAGAGAAGTCGACTGTCCTTTAGGGGTTTGCAAGGTGCATGCTATGCTTGAATACATATTAACTCCCATCATATACTTGTAGATACCTGTAATATAAAAAGTTCTATTCCACTAAAAGCATCTTATTGATAATATGCCTAGCACTTCTTATTAGCCTTGAGGCGGTGCTAGCAAATCTACATAGGAAGAAAGAGATTCAAAACTGAACTTGCTGTACAATTTAATGGTAATTTTCATCTGTAGTCAAATGTTCGAGGTGTTAGAAGCAATCATTTCAAATTAATTTCATAAAGAATTTTTAACTAACTTGTTTTCTTTCTAGGACAGGATTCCTTGGCTTTGTACATTGCACAATATACTAAGGAGGTAAGAGAATATCTAGCTTTAAAAAGTTTTAGCTAAAGACAAAAAAAGTACCAGAAGTGTTTTTCCTCATTGCGTTCCAAAGCAGAAATGTATGTAGTAGTGTAAAGACATTCTGCAGGTAGTAAAGTCATTCTATTTTGACTAATCTAAGCTGTCATAAGAATTGCTGAGCGTGAGCTAATCCCTGAGTAATAGTATGGGAAATTGTTGCCAATTATAGTTGTTTTTCTACTATCTGGGTAAAAATAATTTCAAGGATCCAGTTCGTTAATAAGCCTGACATTAGCTTACAAAGAGCATAATCACAAAATACACCAATAATAACAGTAGGATAAAATACAGCTATTTTGAGTAAGATATAGTATTGAGCTTTTTTGACGCTGCTTGAGTTTCCTGGAGTATACTCTGCAAATTTGCAGATGACACCAAAATGGGAGGACTAACTGATGCAGAGAGACCTTGAAAGGCTGTAGAAATGGGCTGGCAGGAACCTCACGCATTTTAAGTAGTGCAAGTCCTGCCTCTGGGGAGGAACAAGCCCAGGCACTGGTACAGACACTGAGGGGCACTCAGCTGTAAAACAGCAGAAAAGGGCCTGAGGGAGCTGTGGTGGACACCCAAGTTGAACATATGCCAACAATGTGCTCTTCTGGCAAGGCAGGCAACGATATCCAGGGGTATATTAGACAAAGTATTGTTACTAGGTCAAGGGAGGTGATCCTTCTCCTCTCCTTTTCACTGGTGAGGCCACACTTGGCCTCGTGTGTGTTGGTTCTGGGCTCCTCATTGTGAGAGAGGCATGGACATACTGGAGAGCATCCAATAATGATGAAGGGACTGGAGCATCTCCCAAATGATGAAAGGCTGGGAGAGCAGGGACTGTTTAGCTGGGCTTTACACAGTGGCTGTTGCTTGTGCACATTAGGTGAGCATACCTCACTGGAGCACAGGTTAATTCACTGAGAAATTTGTCTGGATTGATTTGCTGGATTCATTGCTTTATGTTATGTGCTAGCCCAATGCCACTGCTCAGCTATGGAAACTTTGCAAAATCAAGTGTACTTTAGAAGAGCCTAATGCCAGTGTTTAATTATTACTACTAGTAACTAGATGAGGCTGGCATTGGCTTACCTAGGTGATAATGGTAGGTATTAAAAGTTCTTACTTCCCTTTGAACCTAAATCTGATGACCATAGAATGATTTTTAAATAGGTTTATACCTAATGTTGATTACAGAATGTATTTTCTTAGGCAGGCATTTTACTCACTCTGCATAGGGACAACTAATTCTGGATTTGCTTTTCAGTGGAACAGACATACCCATAGTTAATTGCTTTATTTTAAGAAACCTTGCCAGTAAAAAATACATGTGCAAAGCATCCATTGACCTGCATCCAATCTCTTGTTTAACCTGAAATGGGCTTATATGTAGTGCTGCCAATGAGGATGGTTACAGGAAACATAAAATATTACAGTTAAATCTGAGATGGTGAAAACAGGTGTTGAAAATAAACCTGCATGTGTATTTAAGAACAGTGCTCTGTACTGTTCATCAGCCACTTACCTCTAGACAGGTTAGTATAGTAATTTATAGATAACAGTTAGGGATTTGTATGGATAGTCAATTCCTGTTCTTAGCAATTAAGAAATGATCCTGACACTTCCTTATGCTAGAATTTAATTTAATTTGGGGAAGAATGATGGCTAATAAACAAGGTCCCTACGACTGAGATTTTACCAGGAGGCTGGCTAGCCTGACTTCATTTTCAAATCACATCTTTACCTGGATTGGAAATTTGGTTTCAAAATCCTGTCAGAATTACTCAAATACCACTGTCAATATGCCATTACTGTCATGGCTGTCCTCTTTGAGGAGCCAGGGCTTGTTTATCTTGTTCAGCAGAACTAACAAGCCATTTTGTTAAACTACATGTGAATATGTAAAGATTTTTGCTTTTTTTCTTTTTGATAGAGAAGACTCATCTAGACAAGATGCAATTCTGGCATGTTCTGCACTGAAGAAGATGTATAGGCATATATTAGTTAATGGAGCATCTGCAATTGAGACAGAGCAACCAGAAGAAAAACCATCACTAAAGATCCTCTTTGTTCATTTGGATGGGCCTATAGACATCATTGCTAGCCGCCTGGAGAAGCGGAGAGGTCATTTTATGCCACCTAAACTTCTCAAGTCTCAGTTTGATACTCTAGAGCCTCCTAGTGCACCTGAGAACTTCATTACTGTCAGTCTAGAAAAACCTCTCCCTGAAATAGTGCTAGAGATTGAGAGCGCTATTCTTCAGGGTGAGGCATTAGTGGAGTAATTTTCTGAATGACACATATAGAAATTCCCTTGAGGATATCAAAGTTATGGAAGAGGATTTTAATTATTAAATTGATTATTAAATCAAATCAATTTATTATTCATTATACTTAAATGGATTGCAATATTAAGAGCTGGTTTACTACTCTTGGGTTTTTTTCATCCTGGCTCTGTAAAAGACATAAAAGGTATAATTTTCAAGAACTTTCAACTTTTTACTTTAAACCCTTCACTATATGAAGCCAAAACTCTCATTTTAGTAAGAACCCCAAAATGGAAGTCAACACTCCCATTTTAGCAAGAGCCAGGAAAATCCTGCCAAGGTCACAAAGAATAATTTATTTTTTTAATTTTAAAGTTTACTCTGTCAGACATGGAGATGGGCACATCTGCTATTACGAGATTAAGTAATTTACAGCTTTGCCAGAAACAATATATTTTTCTGGAAGAGACAGGAACATGCATGATGTTCCTACACTACCACTGTCTCCACACTACCAAGTTGCAACCTCTGCATTTGTGACCCTGCCGACCTCACCAGAGCACTGATGACGTCATGAGGACTTTCATGAACTCTTACTGTATGCACTGAACACGAAGCTAAAAAATGTGAGACAAAAAAAGGCAGCGGTGGTGACACAATATACAAAATACAATTGTATGGACAGCTTTGGAAATAAAGTATAAGTGGCATCATGCTGGCTCTGAACTTGTGTCTTTAATGTACAAAGTGTACACATTGAATTTGAGTGTGAATCAACCAGTGATCTAAGGTACTGAATGCAAGATTGATAGACTTTTTTTTTTAGAAAACTTTCTCCTTCACAGTTGGACCTTCTCCTTCACTTCCCTTTTCTGGTGGGCTTTAGTCTTCCACCTCAGCCCATGTCCATACATCTGCTTTAAAGCTGTAGATCACACTATTCCTAACATACATTTTTCACACCTTTTTGGCGATCAGAAAATTCCAAATATCCAGTCGCCTAGCTCACAGAATTTAAGGTTAAAATCCTTTTTTATTGCTGAAATATTTTTTAAAAAGTACTTTATGTCATGTTACACAAGAGGTGCCTTTGTAGCTTAACTAAATGAAATCTTCAGATAGTTTCTGTGAGAAAGATTTGAGTTTTGTCTGAATGGAGACATCCCCATGTGCTGTCAGATGTGGATTACTTTTAGTGTGTCCTGCAATTTTTTTTATTCCTAGGAGGATGGATGAACTCCTCTAGAAGCAAACTCGTGTTTCAAAGCATCTTTAGTGTCATTTTTACCTGGATAATTAGTTGAAAAATGTTTGTCTTGGTTCTCACTTTGTCTAAAAATAATAAGGGCTTTGTAGTTTACTAGACAAACTACTGTGCTTAAATCACAGTGCAATAAATGGGCATTATCCTCCTGAAAGTGGCCATTTTTAGACACAGAATTGGGATTGTAGGCATTAATGCACACACCCAGAAGTGGTCTTTTCCTGTTTGTTTGTGACCTGAAGGGAGAGAGAGAATACCAGACAGTTACCAGTTTTAGTCTGCTGTTGTACCTACAGCTTGCTCTCAAATCACAGTCTGTTTGTTCTGAGAGCCAGTGTGCAAGTTTAAGACACAAAGTTAAGTACAAGAGACAGGCATGTGTGTCTGCTTCTTAACACCCTCAAATTTCAGACCCCTTCAGACCAAGTGACTTGTCAGAACTGTACAAGTTTAGTAGCAATGAAAATCACAGAAACGGCACCCTCTTGCGGCACCTCTCCTTTTAATGAGGTCTTCATCTTCAGCCAATACACCATTTTACAAACGAAGAGCTTACCTAATGTACCCATTATTAACTATAGATTTATGCACACTTTTTTCAGGCACAATAAAACCAGATCACGACACTCTACAACAATAGAAAAGCAGCTACATCTTGCCATGCACAGATACAGTCAAACCTTTAAATAATTTTTTTTAAAATGGGCAACATTTTCAAGTGTGAGTTCTGAGAAGGCAAGACTCTAATTTTAAGATCTAGTTGTCAGCATTTATAGAATGCTCACAAAGTGACTGTCACCAACAGAATATTGTACTCAACCGTTAAAGACCATTCTCTTTTAGGGAATGTTATGTAAGCATCTTGGGGTTTATAGGTCTTCTAAACAAACTAGTATGTTTGTACTTACGGGCAGTTTATGCTTCTTCAAATTAGGTCAGGGTATTTCTCACTCTCCTATGCCACGAATATTTCCTTCCCTTAACCTTTTAATATATTTGCATTTTGCTTTTACTTAAAGGTACTGCATAGAAGGTTGTTGTGAACTTATTCAGTTAAGTAGTCTGTTACCTGCTATTCTGAAAGACAACAAAGCATTACTTCTGTTCACTTATATCCTGTGCATCCCAAATTAAAAGATTAAGATGTGAATTATCCCAATACTAACCACATAAAACTACCCTCAGATGCTAAGGAAGCTGTGAATATGTACACTAGAAGAAAAAGCAGAACAATCCCTGCCCAAACACAATCCTACACCATTTCATTTACTTGTTGGGTTTTGTTTGGGTTTTTTTGTTGCTGGTGAGGGGGGCAGTTCTTGGGGTTTTTTTTATTTTGTTTTTTAAATGAACTTAACACTATATTAGGGATGTTGTATTCAGGTTAGTTGTGGAGGTTATTATACTTAGCAGAGCTTATCTGGATGCAAGTGCTCTGTCTGTTTTTTGAAATATATTTAGCAAATGCAACAAAAACTGGGGAGGAAATGCCTGGAGATAGAAATTGCTTTTTCTGTCTCTGAGCACGAAGTATCTATGGAAGATACACATACTATACGTCCTCAAGAATTTGTGCTAAGCACCGTTTATAACATACTGTGTAAATACTGTACCTACTACAGCACAGACATTTTTCAATGCCAAAATGAGGAAATGAAATGCTATGTATCCCAATGGCAGTATGCATTTATACATTAAACATAGGAAGGGTAGAGTCTTACTAAACTGCACAAGTTATACAGGCAAAAGGAACAGACCAGCTGCCTGCCACTGTAGCCCTAAATTGAGACGTCATTTTATTATTTTTTTATTAATAATATTTACTTTACTATGCAGCCTCTGAACCAAGATGAGAATTAGGCAGACCACATCCTTTACCAAACTAGCCATCTTGCTGTCACATTCCCAATAGTGTTTCACTTGAATATACGCATTTTAAATCTTTTAAATTACATCTGCCAGTCACACTACTGTGACTTTTAGATTTTTTTCTTTTTGCAGCAGTTACTTTTCTCTAGCAGTAGTTTGATGATCAGGCAAGGCAGTTTTGCAGACAATCTTGTCAGGTGACTTGGTCCAATGTAGGGGAAAACAAGAAAGTAGGAAAATAAAGAAACAACCTGCAGGCACACGTGCCTTTCTGGTCCAAAATGCAAGCTGCAGATTTCAAATACAAGCTATTGAAGTGCTCGGAATTAATGATAAGATTGCTTCTGAAACAAGAAGTAGATGATAACTGTGAAGAGAGAATTTTAAGGACGGACAGAAAAAGGGGCAACAGGGAGGGGGGCACAAACAGGAACATTGTAATACGCTATTAAACCAGTTAAGTGTGGGTTTTCTTTTATTATTAAAGATGTTGTGAAAACTCTACCTATAAACCTTGTTCTGTTTGCTGTTTTCTGACAAAACTAAAATTTTTACTATGCAAAAAATGGCTCAGTGTTTTACCACTACTTACCAGAAACTTAGTAACTGTTATTAGTTGACAATAGTTACTGATAAATATTGACTCTACTTCAAGAAGTAAGCTTAGCTGAAGGCTCAGTGTAGAATTTAGGTCCAACTTCATCTCCTGATGAATTGCAATGAAATTGTATTTCAAATTTAGCGTCTCTTAATTTATAACGTGCAACAGAAATATTTACATAGGTGAGCTGAATGTTGTCTCAAGAAAGTTGGTTAGTAGTGTCTTGGTAAAAACTTTTGTCCCCACCTCACCCTCACCCTTTCATCTGACAGTAGCCTTTTTTGATGTCATGAATTATATTCTCAAAACGACCTGCCTACTGAACAATGAGGGAGTCCTAACTTTTTTAAAGCAAAGTCCCAGTAAGGGACACTATAAAGTCAACTCAAATTAGCTTCTTTAAAGATTCTAATAAATAGTCATTGTGAAAACAACTCTAAAAAGGTAGTCATTATTCTACAGAAACGACTTGCTATCTATCCATTCCTTTTCAGAGGGTCCTGTAACCTCCTTCTGCCAGGCTGAAGGAAAAGTGAAGTCCTAATGTATAAAGGCCAGTCCTTGGGACAAGACCCCTTCTTGCCCATCTCACCCTCCCAGGTGCCTCTGCATGATAGGTATGGGGCTCTGGATGTGGAAGGTCAGTCAATGGATGATGAAGATGATGGTGCCTCTCCACCACAGATGTTACCAAGGCCAGAAAGACCTACACCTCGTATCAAGACCAGTCCCACATGGAAGAAAAGGATTAAAGGATTACAGTGGCAGATGGTTCCCTTCTAAAGGGAACGGAAGGTCCAATATGCTGGAAAGAGACTCCCCTCAGGGATGTCTGCTACTTCCCTGGGGCACACGTCAGGGGCTTCCTAGCCTAGTAAAGTGCTCAAACTATTACCCATTGCTGATCCTCCATACGGGTGGTGACAAACTCACAACATGTAATCCAAAGGCCATGAAAAGAGACTTCAAGGTCTTGGGATGATTGGTGAGGAAATCTATTCTTCCACGTGCAGGTAGTGACTGAAAGAAACAGATGGACCCAGCCTATTAATACATGGTTCTGCGGTTGGTGTCCCTTCCAAAATTTTTGTTAGTTTGACAATGGGATGGCCTACATGGCACCAGATTTTGCTGGCATCAGATGGCATCAAAGGCATCGCTTCTCTCAAAAGGAGAGGGTCTTCGGTCAGGGGCTAGCGGGGCTTATTGTTATGGCTTTAAAATAGATATAATGTGGGGGGGATATCATCAGGTTTAACAGTGATAAGGTGTCAGATGACTTGCCACCCCACTTACATCAGTTAGATGCCAGAGCCAGCAAGAGATGCCCAGATCCTGGAGAGGGACTGCAGGTCAGCAGGAGAGCACGTGAAGGATAGCACAAGGGAATTCCAGGGACTCCAGACAGAAAGTCAGCTTCATGGGGGGCCCAATTTAAATGCCTCCATGCTAATACATGCAGCATGGGGAATAAACTAGAGATGTGTGCATGCCTGCACCGCAATGATCTTATTGGCATCATGGAAACACAGTAGAAACTCCTAAGACTGCAGCACGCTGGAATGCAAGGATAGTCTCTTTAGGAAGGACAGGCAGGGGAGACCAGGAGGAGGTGTTGAGCTGCCTGCCGATGACCAGCTAGACTGCATGGAGCTCCACCTTGGGAGGGTCTGGGGAGGAGCTGACTTAGAGCTTATGGGTCAGGATTAAAGGGAGGGCAAGCACAGGCCTGCTACAGGCCACCTGACCAGGAAGATCAAGCTGATGAGGCTCTCTAGACAGACAGGACCAGCCTCACATTCACAAACCCTGGTCCTCCTGGGGGACTTCAGCCACTCTGACATCTGTGTGGAGGACCAGACTTAAGACATGAAAGCATCTTTTCTCTCAAACATTCTGACTGTTGCAACAGGACAGTTGTGATTGGAAGAGAGGGCCCTGCATCAGTCCTGCTGCTGTGGATGGTCCAAGTCAGAAAGAGAAACCACTTCC